ACTGTGTATGTCTCCTACACAAAAACACAAAAATGTACTGACACGTTCGAATATCAGTGAAAAAGTGACGCGTTTGTCTGTCTGACTAATTGCAGCAGTTAGTCAACTAAAAACTGTCCCACCGAAAAAGATAAAAATCAAATTCTTTTGTTGTCGTTGTGACATTTGTTACATTTTTGTTCTGGTTGTTTGAAGCAGTTTAATCTATTGGTAGTTCTAATAAATAAATATTCTTCCTACTACTACCACTACCTTCCATTTTTATGATCTAACATATTTAAGGAAGTTTTTCTATTATTAACTATTTAGTATGAGTAATATTTTATATCTGTGAGTTTTACACAGACCTGTAGGTATGTGTAGTTATAAATATAAACTATTCAAGTAAAGTATCTTCCTGAGAGTTTTATTTAGTTTTAAACTCTAGCCCCCGAGGTCTCGATTGGTACCAAAATAGTGTCAGTTTTTTTTTTCATAGATATAAGTTCAATAGTACAATTCCGGACCTCGGAGAGCACGTTAAGCCATCGGTCCAGGTTGCCCTTCGAACATATGTAGCGATTGCTATTATTCACACAATATGTTACGGGCAGTTGGAGCCCTAAAAAGTCAGACAACAGTCTCTTTGTACAGAACTATCGCCTTGTCCTTTGATCGTGGAGGTCTGTAAAAAATCTAAGTTTAGCCATATCGTAGTAGACTTTAAAACCGGCCCTAACCTCCTTTGGGAATAGGCTCGAAGAAAGAAGAGTTTTCATTGCAGATGGCCATAACCATTTCGTCTGTAATTTTAACACACTGTTTATTTAAGCGATGTAATTAAATTTTAGTACTGTAATAATAAAAGGTTATATAGCAACGTTAGACTATCAACATAAGGTTAGAAAAATCATAGTTTTGTAATATTCTATTTGGAGGGCGAAGTTTATTATCATATAATGTATATTTTAAATGTCGATTGCTGCCATTAAGTAGTAAAGTTTTGATTAAGTGATTGTAACAGAAGTATTTGTTCAAATATTTTACCAATTATAGTAAAAATACTTTTTCACACAAACTAAAAAAAAATACTACCAATTATTTCAATTTGTTTATTGAAACGAAGTTCCTTATCGCGCGTTGTGAAAGGGGGCTAGACGGAAAAAAATGTCACGAAAAGTTGTAACGACACTTTTTATTTTGAATTGTCACTTGTCAGTCATTCAGCGCCATCTATCGAATGGCTAGGCAATCATTACTTTTCAACTCAGTAAAATTAAAATTTAAGTTCTTAGGTTGAGCAAAAAATATTGTATTCGACATCATTTCTCAAGGAGATTTTACCAATGTATAAATTATTTTAATTAGAAACCAACTGAAAAATATGTAGGTAATAGCCGCTTTCATAGATGGCGTTGTAATTAAAATCGTGTCGAATCAGTTTCACTCGATCGTCACAACTTCGTTCCTATCGGGTGTCCCACGACACCACACGGCTGCATATTTTCTTATTGATATGACTTTGCAAAGTTGTCTCCTTCATCTCTCATTTGTCTGCGTTACGTAACATTTTCCTCTTTGGTTTACTTGACTTAATTGTTATTGGTAACTCTAAAATAATAAGAATGAACAGCATTGTCATACTCTTTTCCCTATTATATTTCGGGATAGCGTGCAATGGAACGTTGCAAATTTTGTCTGTTTTTTTACATAGGCGGGCGCTTGCCTGACACCAACGCTCCTTGGCATAATCGTTTTCAGACGAGACAAATTAAATTTATGTAAGGAAAACGAGTAGGACTAATCAGTTAAGGTAAGGGATATCGTAAGTCTTGGTATTAGAAAGAGGGCCGATTAGTTGGAGGGGCTACTACTAGAGACATTAAAAAATTGAGAATCATGCGTATTTATGAAAAAGTGCAAAAAACTCTTCTTCTTGGTTCGATGGTAATTCACAAAGTAATTTCTATGGCATAAAACTAATTCTTCAGAAGACAATATTCAACGCTAACATCGTTTAATATTCAAGAACAGAACACCCACTCTATTAATTGGAAGTGTCATTTGTCCAGTGGACCGTCAGTCTTCACTGGTATCGCACTAATTAGAGCACTCGACTGAATGACAACCCTGAATACTGACTGAGAGCCGGTGCGATGTGAATTTAGATCAGCGAGTGAGGATTAGTGATTACCGGATAGGGGAGTGAATGATTTATGGAAGGACGTATCCAAAAATATATTAACATCAACTATGTTAATATATTTTTTGATACATCCTCGAACACTAGTTAACGTCATTAGGTCAGTCGGATGAAAACATTCGCATGTTTCGCTGATTTTAATTATAAAAATTATGTGCTTTTTTTTTTATATACTATATACTTTGGAAACTACTACTTCATGGATAATAAATAAATGAAAAACAAAATTAGTCTTTCGGAGCGGTTTTGAAATATAGTGACATATGTCACTATATTTCAAGAGATTTCAAATCAAATCTAGCAGATGGCTTGATTTGTATTCCCTATAGTTCTGTTTTTCTAGTGAAACGTCTTCTTGGTGATAAAATACAAGAACCAGCGTGAAAAAGAGGAATTGTTGGGGGTTTGAAGCCACGTGCGCCTTTCTGACGTACTCAGCAGCAAGAATATTCCCAGTCCAAGTCACCACCTTCACCATCTATATCGAAACCCATGTATCTAGTCCAGACGATTTGAAACCTTGAATTTATAAATATGTTAGAAAGTAGCATGAAGTAGTAATGATAATAATCCTACTGATAATGGTACTAGATTAGTTTAGCAAACAAACACGTAGGTACATTCTCATTATTTTTCCACATCTTTAGTTTTATTACTGCTTGTAACTCAATATTTAATAGCAGAAATAATACTTTTAATTTAATTTTATATAATTTACTAGCTGACCCGGCAAACGTTGTTTTGCCATATACATTATTTCTGGGAAATTTTCAAAAAAATAATTTAGGGGTGGGTTGCCCCTTGTCATTTAGGGGTATGAAAAATAGATGTTGGCCGATTCTCAGACCTACCCGATGTGCACACAAAATTTCATAAAAATCAGTCCAGCCGTTTCGGAGGAGTATGGTAACTAACATTGTGACACGAGAATTTTATATATTAGATATATAAAATTTTTAATTTTATATATTATTTTATTATTATTTTTATTTACTGATGGAGGCTACTGAAAGTGCCAAACTCGTCGCCAAATTTTGGGCCGACTCAATTTGAATTGTCATCGACACGCTAAGAAGAAGAAATTTAATTTAAAATCATTACAATATACAGTACAAATACTAATTAATTATTATTAATAAACGTTTATAATTAGTAATTAGAGTTTGTTTTATATGATATCAGCACATTTTGTATTTAACGACTTCGAAAACAAAATAGATACTACCACAAGTAACTGAACACGTAAATTTAATTATTAATGAACAAAGTTTAAAGTTTTCTATTAAACGCTCGTAATTATGTTTTATGGTTCAAAAAGTAATAATGGCCTGTTAGTACCTTTCATTACTACCCCGCCGCCACCTACCGTGTAGAATAAACAAATAAATATTTAACTTTACAAAACATACTTTACAACTGGCTACTTACAAATTTATTTAATTACCGTTCAACGTACACATTAATTGCCCATTTTATTATTCATAAAATCTTAGTTAATTAGCTATATTTTATGTCTTTAATTAATTTAATGAGCTATTTTTTGTTGACTTTATTTTGGTGTAGACGAAGAATATTTTAATACATCGGTAGTAGGCTGATACTTAAAATCATTTTTTTAAAGTTTTAAACTGCCATAACTTGTATGGCTTGTATGACTGGAAATTTATTAATTATTTACAGGTTATTAAACGAATGCTAGCACGTCCCCAGTTAGATGGACAGGTAGAACAGGTTGGGATATTATGCCTTTAATGTCAGTACCAACAGAGCAATGAATAGTGGACGGATGGCGTAGTGGTTTAAGCGTACTAGGCTGAATGTTGCGGGTTCGATTCCCACATGGAACGACACTTTGTGTGATCCACAATATGTCGTTCCGAGTCTGGATGTTCTTTGTGTCTTTTTCATTTTATTCACGACAGAGGATATATTCATAGTGCGGCAGTTGTACATTTTTGTTTGTTCTGTTAGTACCAACACACAACACATACCACATCGGTGTGATTGTATTTGGTATTGCTGTGATTATATTCTTAATTTCAATCGTACTTTCTAATCCCTGTCCTAGTATCATCTTCAATTATAGGGTCGATACACAAGTACAGCAATGCAGAGAGAAGGAAAACTTGACACAAACCCTATACCAACCCGTCTGGCCAGCGTGGTGTATTAAGCCAAAATCTCCTTTCTAAGGAGAGGCCTATGTCCAGCAGTAGTCTAGTAAAGGGTATTGATGATGATGATGACCTGGGTCTATTCCAGCTACTGAAGCTTCACTCCTATTATCCTATGTGACATTCGCGTATCCTATTACCTAGGTCCCCATTTTAAAACCGTTTACTTACACTTTCTTTTTGTGTTGTCTAAAAATCATTACATTCTGAAAACCTCTCTGCAAAATAATATTCTGACAGAAATAAAGAAGATGATTATGATGCACCATAATAGTATTGATCTGTTTAAAGAACTTGATAAAATTTATAGAAATTCGAAGCAGTAGTATCATGGTCTAATTTTGGCACTTTATAGCTGTGCTTTTACACTGATAGCTGCCGTTCAAACCATGTGGTCACAAGTAGTACATTAAAGCTTTTCATTAACAGCGTAATTGATTTTTGTCGAGTTCCTTCCAATTGGGGGGTAATGCACTTGTGTCTTTTGAGAGGTAGGTCTCTATCGGCAGTAGTAGTCATAACTCATTTGCTCGTTTGCCCTCTATACCATGGAAATTAAGAAAAATAAGACACTAAATTATTAAAGTGTTATTTTATTCAAGGATTATTTTGTTATTTTGGTTGAATACTAAAGCAAAACGAATCTAAATCTCCAATTCGCTGATAGGTACGGTTTTGAAGAACACATCCAAGTGTGAGACAATCCGATTCAGTACTTCAGATACAATAGGTTTACCAAACGTTTGTACAACTTCCTTCCAACTCTCTTCCAAAATGGTCATGATTGGAGCGGCTAAAATAAAAATTATTTAATTAAATGTGTTTTGCTTATCCAGTAATTGTTATCACTAACAATTACCAATGTATCACCACCTCCAAAGCGAAAAAAAGACGATAAATTGCAAAAGTCGTAAAATTTTTTTTTCATTTTCCACCCTTAGAGCTAGAATACAACTTCAAATTTAATTGAGACCAATCGATAGAAAAAAAAAGATATTGTTATCGGTTCAAATTCGGATCCGAACAGTATTTATCACATCACATCACATCCACAGTCTTTAGTAATCCACTGCTGGACATAGGCCTCTCTTTAGGGTTTGGCCTACTACACCACGCTAGATAGGTTGGTACTAACAGTATTAGTCTATCCTTCTCCACGATTTTCTAAAAATTGACTTTATCTAAATACTTTCTGGAAATCCCATAACTAAAATGTACCTGTAATAGTTATGTATGTATAACCTATATTCAACACACATTATTATATATAATAGATATTGTTCTATTAACAAGTAAAGTTAACTATGTCATCCGTGCAGTCAAATCAATCAATGTTTTTAAAACAGTTTTAACATCTCAGAAAAGGTCAGGATTATTCTAACATCTACCTGTACTCCAGCTTTTATCGCTTCTCTGTTATAAAGTCTAAATCATTACAGAATGTTACTAAAATGTTGTCAAATCAAGAAACGTTATGCATAATCGATAAATAGTTGATTTAGTTGTATACGATATATAAAAGTCACTATATCGTTTGTGTTTCGAACCAAGAATATGAATCAAGAGTCACTGTTGAATTGGTATTCAAAACCACGGATTTACCTACATTTCTTAGCTCTCTATGTTACTTACGGAGACTACTATATGTACAATCCTAAACTATGAACACTCTTTTCTGTGACACTCTGCATATCGTTAATTATTTTGCCTCACTGCTTACCTTTTTCTGTATCCCCGTTAAACAAGTTCTCGAACTTGAGTAACGTTTTTGATTGAAATTCGTATGTATGCTCATCGTTATTTAATTTCCAATATTTTTGACCGTTTTCGCCATCGACCGATACCAAACGACATTTGAGAAGGATGAACAATTTGTCTGGAATAAAAATTAAAGTTGGAGTACTCTTCTCACTTCTCCAACTGAATCATCAGCTTTTGTTTAAAGTTCGTTGATAACATTTATGAAATGTGTATTTTTATTAAAGTACATCAACATCACACATCAACAGACTTTAATAGTCAGCTGCTGGACAAAAACCTCTCCTTAGAAAGGAGGTTTTGGCCCACTATACTCGTACCACGCTGGCTAGACGGGTTGGTATAGGGTTTGCGTCAAGTTTTATTTCTCTTTGTACTGCTGTTGTCCCGCATAGTTTGCTTCCTTAGTCGGCTCTTGTGACATCCATGGGCTGAATAGGGGTGGTGAACTGGTGACACTCCGTATTCTTAATCCGTCACCACACGGACAGAGTCTGAGAGTCAAGTTATAAACAATATTATAGTAGAACGAATCTACTGCATAAAGCTGAAAAGTCTGAGTAAATTACATGAATTAGCCAACACACGAAAAAATATTATTTTACAGGCTTTTTACCTGTCTTTACACTGAAGGGTCCCGACCCTTCTACTGGTATATTGAAGAGATTTCCTGAAATAATATAGTTACCGTGCACTTGTATGGGACACTCGACTTCAAATTTCAACCATTGTTCATCTTTATTACGTCTGTAAAAATATTTTGCTACAAGTTATGTTTATCAAAAATAATATTTGTATAGCTAATAAATACCTTCAAAAATGTAATTTCAAACAGTCATTTTATTAATACAATTGTGGATTTGATTTATGATATATTGGTATGTTCAGACAATGCTGTTTAGCTAAAACAAAAAATACGTTAACACTTGAAACTCAACATTTAGCCACTTTGACAAAAAATATGTGATTAATATTAGATTGCCTGAGACTTTACTTTTCTTCGTTTGACCGGGCAATAGTTAACACATGGTTCCAAAAACGTCACGAACATCTGATCACGTATAAAAGTGGTAGCCACGTGACACAGATCGACTACTTTCTCATAAAAAGAAGTAAGTTGGTTTGTGTCCGAGACTGCAAAGTGGTGCCCGGGGAACCCGTAGTATCGCAACATAGATTGCTGGTAATGGTGGTCAAATGGAAGAGTTTGAGTAAGAGTAGGAAGAACCGACCTCCTCCAAGAATCAGGTGGCGAATGTTAGAGAAAGAAGAGTATGCAAGTAACTTTAAGGTAAAGGTGGTAGAAAAAATGATTGAAATGAATGCAAGGCTAGATAAGTCTGTGGATGGATGGTGGAGTGAAATGGCAAATTATATACGAAAGATAGCGAGAGAAGTACTTGGGGAAACAAAAGGAAAAGGCATTATTGAAAGAGAGACATGGTGGTGGAGTGATGAGGTACAGAAAGCTCTAAAAGAAAAGAAGGATGCCTTTAAAGCTTGGAAAAATGAAAAGGTCTGTGAGAGAATGAAGGAAGTCAAAATTAATGAATATAAAGAGTGGAAGAAAAAGGCAAAAAAAGCGGTAGCGGTAGCCAGAGCTAAAGCTCAATATAACATATTTAAACACCTACATGAACCTAGCGGTCAAAAAGAACTCTACCGCATTACAAAGAACAGGGAAGAAAGAGCAAAAGACCTGAAGCATGTGAGATGTATAAAAGATGAAGAGGGGAGAGTGTTGGTTAAAGATGAAGATATAAAAAAGCGATGGAAATCTTACTTTGAAAAACTTATGAATGAAGAGAATAAATGGAGCGGAGTGCTAAAGCATGTGGATGTGAATGTCGGACTGGTGAACGAGATTAGTATAGATGAAGTTAGATTGGCAGTACGAAGTATGAAAAATGGAAAAGCAGTTGGCCCCGACGGTATACCAGTGGAAGTTTGGAAGCTACTGAAAGAAGACGGATATAAGTGGCTGACTCTATTCTTCAATATGTTGTTGCTTGAAGAGGTAATCCCAAAGGAATGGTGTCAAACCCAACTCGTACCCATTTTCAAAAACAAAGGAGATGTTCAGGAATGCAACAACTATCGAGGAATAAAGCTCATGTCACATACTATGAAAGTCTGGGAGAAAGTGATTGAGAGAAGAATAAGAGATGAGAGTCAGATAACCCAAAGTCAATTTGGGTTTATGCCAGGACGCGGGACAACAGATGCTATATTTGCAATGCGCCAACTATGTGAGAAATACAGGAGTGCGCACAAAAACTTGCATATAGTGTTTGTGGATCTCGAAAAGGCATATGATAGGGTACCCCGAGAGGTTTTGTGGTGGGCTTTGAAAGAAGAAAGAGTGCCTGTTAAGTATGTAGAATTGATTCGTACAATGTACAGAGAGTCTAGCACTCATGTAAGGTCGGTCACGGGAAACACTGATCAATTCAGTGTCTCTGTAGGCTTGCACCAGTGATCAGCTCTGAGCCCATACCTCTTCCTGTTGATAATGGATGCTCTGATTTCGGACATACAGGAGGAGGCACCTTGGTGCATGCTATTTGCAGATGACATTGTGTTGGTCGGTGAGGATGGGGTTGAGGTCCAGAACAGACTGGAAAAATAGCAACAAAGGCTGGAGAATGTTGGCTTGAAAATCAGCAGAACCAAAACTGAGTACATGTTCTGCGATTTCGGCGGTCTCTCCAGTCCTGAAACCATTTCGCTGGATGGGATAGCGATAACAGTCTGCTCCAATTTCAAGTACCTCGGCTCCCTCTTACAATGTGATGGTGAGATTGATCGAACTGTACAGCATCGAATCAATACGGGATGGATGAAGTGGCGGCAGGTAACGGGAACAACTTGTGACCCCAGTTTCCCCTTAAAACTGAAGGGACAAATTTATAAAACTATTATCAGACCTGCCGTACTGTATGGTTCTGAAAGTTGGCCCATTAAGAGAACGGATGAGAGACGCCTGAACGTAGCCGAAATGCGAATGCTGAGATGGATGTGTGGTGTGACTCAGATGGACAAGGTTAGGAATGAGTATATACGAGGGAGTCTGAAAGTAGCGCCACTGGATGAAAAGTTAAGAAGTAATAGGTTATCTTGGTATGGACATGTCATGCGGAGGGATGAGGAAAATGTGGCGAAGAAAGTTTTAGGTATGAGAGTTGAAGGGTATAAGAGAAGAGGCAGACCGAAGAAAAGGTGGATGGACTGCGTGAGGGAGGATATGGCTAGCAAGGGAGTAAACAGTGAGATGACGCATGACAGAGTAGAATGGAAAAATCATACATACTGCGCCGACCCCAAATAAAATTGGGAAAAGGGTAGGCAGATGATGCCTGAGACTTTAATAACATAAAACTGTTATCAGAAAAAGATTCATATTTAACATACATTTATTTTTTGATAATATTTTTTAAATAGTTCGATAAAAACGAAATAAATATTCAGATATAATAAACATACTCTACATCTTTAACTTGACAGTTCCTCGTTCCAGATAAAATCATATCTTTGAAAGTGATCTCTAAGCCTCCTTCATTGTAAGAAACTGTATTTAGTGCTACAGGATCTAGTGGAGACATTCCAAGTTCTGATACACCAGCAGCGAAGTAAGGTATTGCTGTTTGCGATGACTTCAGCAAGCACGCTCGGTTGTCCCATTTACATTTTTGTATAAAAGGAGCTATAAGAGTGCCAAAAAGTTAAAACGATGTCACGATACATAACAGAAAAAAAGAAGAATAAAGTACAGAAATGAACACATTTCAACCTTCCCCTTTTAGCCTTTGATTTAGATGATATTTACCGTCATTTCTCCCCATCACAGTTTGATCATCAAATCAAATGTCGGACGTTACAGTTCCTGGCGGATCTATTCGTCTAAATATTAAAGCTTTTCGGGTGTCTTCAGTAGAACCAGGTGTGCTAAAAGATAATCCTCTTGGATTTGATTGAGGATTATCTTTTTGATTCTGGGATTTGATAACATTAACCGTCGCATGATCATTTCCATCCGCGATCACATTCTTCCCGTGCATACATTTTTGTTTTCTTATGACTCGAGGATGTATCTTTCATTGTGGCGTAAAGCGTTTATCGTTCTGTTCACTGTACTGTACTGTACTTCACAATCACCTACAATCAATCTCCGTTCTGCCCTTCCTATCCAAAGTCCAAGGCCTGTGTGAACCAACAACTATCCCAACATTTTTACCGAAACAACTTACTAACCCCTTTCCAATCAGGGTTCAGGCCCGAATACAACTTCCGTTCTGCTTAAAGTAACCAGTGACATCCGAGCAGGTATTGAGAAATTCAAAGATACTGTGTTGGCATTACATCGGATACACTGGAATGGTTGTCGTCAAATCTCCAGGGGCGACAACAGTCTATCTGCTTCGATATAGCCTCCTCAAGTTGGCGTGAACTTGACTGTGGTGTCTCTCAAGGAAGCATTCTCTCTCCTTTATTATTCTCAATATTTATCAATCTCATCATCATCATCAACAGCCACAGCAGTGGACTATTATATAGTCCACTGCTGTACATAGCCCTCTCCTTAGAAAGGTGGTTTTGGCCTACTATACTACGCTGGCCAGACGGGTTGGTATAGGGTTTATTTCAAGTTTTCCTTCTTTTTGCAGTGCTGTTGTCCTGTGCAGTTTGTTAACTTAGTCGGCTCGTACGATACCCACGGGATGAATAGGGGTGGTGACATTCCGTATTCTTAATCCGTCAATCTTATCACCCCGAATCTTCAATGTGCGTACCATCTTTATGCCGATGACTTGCAGCTCTATTATCAAGACTCGACAGACGATGTATCTACACCATAAACAGTGGTGCAGTGTTTAGTGATAACCCCCTACCAATTATTTTCTGTCTATGTCGTCTCACTGTAGGGAAAATGCCTCCCTCTCTAACTTCACATCTCCCTGTTATAGTTATAGTGCTATTCGGCCTAGTCTTTTCGGCAGCTTTAGAGATCGTCCTGTAATCTTTGCTTTATCATATAATTTGTCCAAATACCTAAACTACCAGGATTTAACTAATAAACTTTTAATAAACATCTACGTCTACATCACAAGCTGCGTCTAATTTGGGACCAAATCGGCGGTCGTATTGTCTGAACTTGTGAAATTATTTTTTAATGAAGATTTTTACTTTTACAAGTTCTGATGTAAATGAATGATGTATGTATAAACAAAAATGTTAGAAATGTTAAAAATACTCACCTAAAGCCGCATAAGAGCTTGTTACTAACCAAGTGACACTTAATATCGTATACGTCAACTTCAACATTTTATTAGTGTTAGACGAAAATATTTTTATTTATACTTATAGCCTACGTTAAGTATCTAAATTTATAAGTAGCTTGATGTTAACAGTAAGAAACGATACTGCTTATAATTGTATACCAACTGCTTAATATATAGTGTGATGAAGGTTATTCAGATATGTATCATTATTTTCCGCTTTTTGGTTTTCTTCACCTTCAACACAAACACATGTTAAGATTTTTCCGTATAATGTTTATAATAACTATTTTAGCGGGATGTAAAAAATATTCAAAATATGTAAAAAAATATACTAAATTAAACCTATACAATAAATTATAACAGCAATTATAATTATAACAGCATATACATACACATGAACAAAAGACACAAAAAATGATTTTGTTTGTGTTGGTCATATACATCTTTGTCAGCACATTTCACCAAAGCCCACTTCTAACCTCTGTCAGAGCTGTCCTGGGAGTAGCAGTTATGGTTTTTATAGCGTTGTAGGTTTTTATTTAACTGCGGAGAAGAAGAGAGGAACCCAATACAGAGGATGCACTTTCAAAAGACCCTACAATAACATGTGGGAATCGGTTTGATTCCGACATAACATACCTCTTACTACATAGCCCCGGTGATGTGATCACTAACAGTGACGTTGCAGGGATAACGTGTTCAACTGAGCCCTTTATCTTTGCAACGGATTTATTGGAAATGATTGGATTAATTTGCTGGGGGATACATCAATTTAATGTTAAAGATTATTATGGAGTTAAACATAGTTTTGACGTTTAGGGAAATGTGCTGCACTCCAAGACCTGTAAGTATCTAGCTAGGCTATGTAACTTCAATTTAATGAAAATGATAGTTGTGTTTACTGGAAATAAATAAATTTCAGTTTCTAGGAAACCTTTTGGAACTGATTATAGTTAGAACGGTGTAATATTATAAATTAAGAAGACATCAACATTAGCCTAATTCCTAGTGTTGACTAATTTCAAGTTTAAGAATGATAAAATTTACAACTGATTTTTATTTCTAATAATATTAATAATCAAACAGTTTATGTAAAACAGTGACTTAACACCATTTTTATTTTAACTTTCAATCTTCTTATTTTTTTTATTATAAATTTAATGGTGTTCACCATCTATAAATAACCTACTTAACGTCTTATTAATGTTAATGAATTAGCATTTTACTTTCGATCTTTTATTTTTATTGAATGTTTTACAATCTAGTCATTTTTTATATCGAAGCTTTTAACAAAATGACAGAGTACGGTTGCTGATGCAATCTTGTAATATAAGAATGTATTCGCTTGCTCTTTGAAGTAACTAAGTTAACAGTCTATTAATTACAATACGTTTATCTCAACAATTAAAAGTCTATTTTTTTGACTTGACGTTCTAGCTAACTTACGATACAAATTTTATCCCTAGAAATTATTTGCAGACTTTTACAATGTTGCTGAAAATACAAACTTTAAAGGCTGTGAAAACCTCAAAATAGGGTCCAATTGCTGGCCACTAAATTCCTTACCGCTGTCGTTGTGTGTCAGCTGTGTTGTTGCTATTTCATTTGCACGCATACAAGCATACACGAACATGAGCAAAATAAAGTTGGACTGTTTGATTAAGGTGTTTTTTTTTGTAGTGCGACACTCCATCTATACTAAGATCTAAGCTTTCACACGTCAATGATCTATTTTTGATGTTTTGGTACCAGAGAAGACTACATTACCCGCTTAGTGTTCACTTCTACATATAAACTTTTAGGTCGTGGATACACTTTTCATAAGCTACAATTACGGATACAAACAAACGTAGGCAAGTTGAAGAGGTTTTTGCATGGGTAGTCAGGTGGCAGACAAACAGACGGGTCACCTGATGGAAAGTGACCAGCGCCGCCCATGAACGTCTGCAAATAATATCAAGTATATGTATATATAATGTATTTATTGCTTAAATTAAATTGTCAGAGCCTTTTCTCAGTGCCTTAAGTAATTTTTAAAAAATATCTTTATTAAATTTAGGTAATTGTAGACCTACAAACAGGTATTTACTAATTTTATATATTATGACGGGACTCTTAGTCTAGTGGTTAGTGACACTTACTGCTAAGCCGGAGGTCGTGGGTTCAAGTCCCAAACAGGACAAATATTGTGTAATGAGGAGGATCATTTGATCTCTGTTCGGGTGTAATTTATCTACAATGTATACGTATTTAGAAATATATATATAAGTATGTTTATCAGCAGGCTAGTTACCAGAATACAGGCTCTACATAATTCGGGATCAGACTGTCGTGTGTGAGATGTGTGAAGTTATTATTACTATTATGTATGTTAAACATGTATGATGCAAGTTAATAATAACCATACATAAAATATGAAATAAATGAGTCCTTTTTTAAAATTACATTAACAGTCACGCACAAATACTAAATCACTCCTCAAGCCGATTATATTCCGAAAAGTAGGGAATTCGTTATGAACTGTCTTGCTATGTTCGTTTTATCACTAATCGCTAAATCCTCTTTTCTTTTAGCCTTTTTATTAATAATGCTTTAACCATGTATAAGTTGCGTTAAGACTTATTAAAATTAAAAGAAGAGGTCTAGTTTATTCTTGTTCATTACGGGGTTTTAAATATCAGGTATAATATTAGATCCTTACAGATGAAATTGGCGTTTTGTACGTGGAATATAAAGTCATTTTTTTTTGTTAAATATATTTAATTAATCAAAGTAACACAGCAGTCGACGCGTGTTTGCAAGTTCGATTCACTCAATTCATGAGGTACCCATCGTTCAAGTTTTTTTATTTTCCCGATTTGCTTCAAGTGGATTAATACAGTTTTATCACTTACCCCGAAGCTTGTAGCTATCTCTGAAGTGCTTTGTGATGGATCCGCTTCCACATCAATCATCATCAATCATCAACAGCTTTTAATAGTCCACTACTGGACATAAGCCTCTCCTTAGAAAGGAGGTTTTGGCCTACTATACCACGCTGGCCAGACGGGTTGGTATAGGGTTTGCGTCAAGTTTTCCTTCTCTCTGCAGTGCTGTTGTTCTGCGTAGTTTTTTCCCTTATTCGGCTCTTACGAAACCCACGGGATGAATAGGGGTGGTGACACTCTGTATTCTTAATCCGTCACCACACGGACCGCTTCCACAATAGCTTTTAATTCTTCATTTTCCACTTTGGTCTCCGGCCGTCCACGGGGTTGGTTCTGAAGGTCGAAATTTCCAGAACGAAAACGTTGAAACCAAAAACATACCGTGCTTTATTTTGCGATACCAGCGCCGTACACATCATTAATCCTGCGAGCTGTTTCTGCAGCACTGGTGCCACGGTAGAACTCGTACTCCTAAATATACCGATATTTCATGCTTTCCATTTTGCGGTAATAAGCGACGCCAAAGACAAACATAATGAGGAAAAAAACAAATGAAAGACTGTTTTCAAAACTAAAATGTACCAGCTAAATGAATTAAAAAAATTGAATTTGGAATTCATAACCAAAGAGGAGATATTTCAGATCAAAGTGGTCAGTACGACAAAACGCTCTCATATGTAAGGACCTAATATTTCCTTAGCTTGTTATTAAGCACTAGTCGTGATTTTTGTGAACTAGTATTTAGTAACTAACGGAATACTATTTTACGATTACGTGATTCAAATCTCATTTACTGCTGTTGTCCTGAAGAGCATTAGCAGGGGAGGAGGCATGTCAGCCACTTCTACCCAATAATGTGGCACTTACTGAACTAGACTGATTTGGGAAACACCTATGTCAGATATTTTAGAATCTAATGTCAGTGTGCTTCCACTGTGACGACATGTAGACTGCGATGATAGGCGTACCACAGAATACTCATCAGGCGTCACAGTGAGCAAGTTTATCTCCGGCGTCCATGAACGCTCAGAAGCACACACAGATCTACAGGAGTAGGTTCGAAACGGGGCGTGTGTCTTGCATAAAGCAATAAAGTTGATTTGTAATTCTGACTTGACTATGACATTTTTATTAGCTTTTTGTCCAGTAATTAACAAAAAATCTCTCGAAAATACAAGAATGTATACGATAAATCAATTACTTTACAAACACACAACGGTTGCTCGTGTTTATTTTTACAATATTCCTGTACCCTGTAGCTCGGATAACATAGTTAAACCCGAACACATTGCCATTTTATCGTGGTCTGTCCTGCTTTCTATGTTACTGAGGAGCTGGTGATGGCAGGCGAGGATCTTGTTAGTTTGGTAAAAAATATATTGTGGGTGTGTTGCACGTTCCGCACACGGTTTGGATCTTACGTGATGAGTTGATTTTCAAACATACTGTACATCGATTAAACTGAATTAATCGATTTTTAATTAACTGGTATAATTTGATTGTAAATTCATTCTCATTCATGTTCATTCTCTTGATCTATATTTTTATGATTTGTAAAATTTTCGATAGCAAATGAATACTTACTATCAAATTGTTAAAACCGCATAAAATTACTTACCTGCCATATGTTTTCTTCCACCATTCAGTTTTCTCTTTCATTCATTCCAAAACTTCTTTATCCTCTTTTTACACTTTAAAGTGCCACGGTATAGTTTAGAAAGTTCTATCCTTTACATGTGTAATGACGTTGCAAATCGTCCTAAACCGTTTAAAAAGTTTTTAGTCAATATATAATTAACATAAAGTATCACCGACTTCAAAATAAACTGTAACATTTAATGCTCCCTAATAAGGGTAAATAAACTGTATTCTTCATTTTAATTTACATCCTTCATCATTCCTATTTAAAGAAAAATACCACACCCTTGGGGTGTGACAGTGTAAATGTGACCATATATTGAGAATTTTTCAAATCGGATCAAAAATTTAAAGAGGGAGTTCTGCTGTAACCACAAAGAAAAAAACAAAAAACGAATTGAGACTGAAGAAGAATAATTTTTTTAATTTTTGAAGTCGGTTATAAGCCTAATGTGAAAAATAGTTTATTTCATCTTCACGCCTTAAGGCTTAAGCAATCATTGGAATTCCGCATAGTAGACATAAGGTGTCAGAAGTACAAAAAATAAGCGAAGGTACTTTTCATCCAGGAAAAAAGTACTGTTACCGAGGAATAAAACAAAAAAGCTAAGCCAGTAAAAAGCAATTAAAATTTATGATTACGTTGAAGTGAAAATCGATACTATACTTCAGCACACATAACATATTCCCTCTTACCTTAGCTTCGAATTCAATTTTTAAATGTCTTAAGCTACTACATCCTAATACTTACTTACTTTAGAAATAAAATAAAAAATATTTTATATGTGAAAATAGCATATAAAAATGCAATGTGTAAGACATTGTCTAAACATTTGTATTGAGAATAACAGGAATCAGAGATTTGCTCCTAGTATCTCGGAAGATCAGAAATAGGAGTTATTTAGAAATTCTAAACTTTAAAAACTAAACTAGTGCATTTAGGACAACTTATCGTGTTGTTATTTTTCAAAATGATTATCCATGTCTAACATTATACTTACGGAGCTATTGTAATACCAATATACATAAAAGCTTCAGTTAAAAGAGTTATTGCGGACAAACAGAGAATTTCCATAACATGAATGAGTGTGAGTATAGGGAGTCACATGTGCATAGAAATACAATGTGTGACCGTTGAAAAGTTCTGATGCTTTAATACTGGCCGACATTTTCATTCGCATATATGGCAGGGTGCCACATGTAATGTGTAATGTTTCATGAATAGCCTTCAGTAGTCCACTGACTGGACATAGGCATCCCTTAGAAATTATGGTTTGGGCCCACTGTATCACTATGGCCAGACGGGTTTGTATGTTTCTTGTTCTCTTTGCAGTGCTGTTGTTCTACATAGTTTGCTCCCTTAGTCGCCTCTTACGACTCTTACGAGATGAATAAGGGTAGTGAGATTTAGAATTCTTAATCCATCACCACACGGATAAATGTTTATTCTTCAATAGACATTATTACAACAATACTGAACTGTCACGTTCAGAATTAAAAATACAATATATGTTAATAGACTTTGTGAACATGTTTTTTAAGCGAGCTGCCTTACTATTTTGCATTGTTTATTTCTTACTTATTTCGAGATTTGATGTGGCGATATCACTTTTATATTAATTATAAATCACCATATTGTTTACCATGGAGTAGGGAATAGAAATAAAAGTTCACTTCATCAAATATTAATCACTTCCAAACTCTTTATAAAATAAAGATCCTATAAAAATCATCCATAGGACATTGGTATTCTTTTAAGATTAGAGGGCCTTAACGTGGATTGAAATCAGCTCAATTCTAAGGTTAAGAGAAGAAGAAAGAAAGACAAGGCTGTGATGAAATAAAACCAACAATTATAATAGTAAGTGGTCATGACATTAAGTTGATATTGAACCAAGCTAAACTTTTATCGGAAAGAAAACTTATACCACGTTCTTTTCTGTAACCCTGACAATATGTACCATTAAAAATCGGAAACTTGGAACTTTTAACCCCCAAACCCTTTTAAATACTTTTATTGAAGTTGGACGCTAAAAAGAGTCAAACATCGATTATTTTGTCTACAATGTGGACAACAACCCATTCAGAACAGCATTTAAATTAGCTGCTGAGGTCATGAAACATATTTGTAAAATGTGACCCATTTTGCTCGTATTGTTTATTCGTACACTAAATCTGACTTATATGACGATAATATATGACGGATCTAATCTGACGTTTTCTTGAGTAAATAATAATTATTATCATACTAACAAAATCATAGCCTGTCAAGGTGTTGTATGTTTGTATGTATTGTTTATTGAAAAAATGCGATGTGATGTTCAAAAAATATGTTTATTTAAAAGGTAAAAATCACATTAGACAATTTCGATTTCATCAGTAGGTGCATTTTGGAAGAATTTGACACAATTGTCTATCGCTCGAGAAACAATCTCCTTGACGACGGGTTTGCCGATACCGAGCAAAATTTCTTTCCAATTTTCGTCAAGTATTCTCTCAATCGGTTCGGCTGAAAACAAAAAAGAGTTTGATATATGCACTCCTAAAAAAATATGTAATCCTATCTCCTATCAAAACTGTTACCGATTTATTTTGGTCTTTAATAAAGGCGTAACAACCCGTAAAGATATTATTTTTGTAGATGTTAGTGTGAATAGCAACTAATAATATAACCCGTGTGTAAAACGTTAGCTGGTTATTAATAAATATAAATTAGCTTTTCCACGAAATTCTGGGAAGAAAGTTTTATTTTTATTAAATTAGATGTCTTTTATCCTGTCAAAGTCTGTTGTCGTCCATTATTCAAATAAGAGCTGGATTTCTGGTTTAATGTTTTCTCAGATCACAGATGATTTATATGATAAATCGAAAATATTGGCCATTACTAAGGAAGTGTCACTAATAGTTAGTGACATCAGCAGTCCTTTGAAAGTTAGCTGTTTATTATAAAGCTATCTCAAATCTCTTCTCGTAAATATAATTAGTTTTGCCGCATTGTTTGCGATGCGAATATTTGACCAAAGTAAATTTGCCTAGCTGTCACATCTTTCTTTTCTTCGTAATCCGATTAACCTTGGAATATATTTGATTAGCGATGGTTTAACTAACTTGAGTTTTGTTATGATGATTTTTGTCTAATTCACGTAATGTAATAATTTTTACACTTACCTTTTACTTTGTCGCCATTATACAAGTTTTCAAAATTAAAAGTGAATTTAGAAAGAGGCTCGTAGTTGTAATCAAAGCCAGAGACTTTGTAATATTTTTTGCCATTTTTTGTGTTTTGCTTCAATTTGAGGTTGAGAGTGATGTGCAGTTTATCTAAAAAATATCGTAAAAATTTGATTACCTTTTGCCATAATACCACTTGAATTTGTAGATGTTATATGAATTGTTTTTAAAGTGTAGGTGTTTTTCTTAAGTTTATTACGTACCGCCTTTGATTCTGAAAGGTCCTTCTCCTTCGACGTCTAGGACAAGCAGTTTACCACCAAACTTGTAGTTGCCAACACATTCAATTGGGCATTCAACATCCAAGAACACTGTAGATTTTGATACATCACGTCTAAACAAAATATTAATGTATGAGAAATTTATAAAATTAACTTAGTAAATTATCCCATTAAATTATTTACATGTTCGCTGTATACAAAATTGATATAATCAAGACTGTTGAGAAAAGATTTTTTGTGTTTAAATACTTTGAAAGTAATGACATTGCAATATTAAAGAGCCATTATAGTTTACGCGAGCGAAATTTTGGCGTGAACCTAGTTGACGAATATGACACTTATGAATATTATGCAATATATAGGTAAGTGATTTGATTGTAAGTCTAAAGTCTATGGTAGGTATAGAAAACCCGTAATCCAAGGTCAGCCGCCCAGAGGTATGTATTCTATCTTACATATTTTTACAATAAAATTCAATAAACGAGATAAGAACAAATATTAAGATTTTATTACGATGTTCTTGAGGACTCGACCTATTGAGCAAGAAATGTGTGTTAATTGTTACTTGAGATCCGAATTTATTTAGTTGTGAATGTCTTGGTTTAATTTTGGTGCACAGTGTAATTTAAACTGTCATTGTTTAGATTTTTGTACTATGACAGGTCAAAATATATACTGGATCCTATTGTTTTATTTAGGTGTTTTATATAGTTTTTGCACATAATGTTTAAATTTTTTAGCTTTCTACATTACTTCTTCATATAAAAATAAAGTATCCTAAATAAACGCCTCGATACCAATGAAATATTACTTTAAAAGGGTTACAAAGAATTTTCCTTATACAAATTTTAAATATGGAGTTTGTAAATTACGTAATTGGTAGTATTTTTTTAATTTTAATATATATATATACTCTTACTTAGAAACACTTAAATGTAATATTTTAGTTTAACTACTGTGCTTTGAGCTTTGTAAGTTAATAAAATGCCATGTGGCATTAATTCCACTACATGCAATGTAAATGCAGGCAGTTTAAACAATTTTAATACCTATCAATATATATGTACGTAAGATATTGACCTCAGATCGAGAACTTCATCTATAGGAGATGTTTATTTAAGACATTATTGTATGCGTGCCTTTAACAACCCACGGCAATTGTACTACACCAATCATGTTTTACTAGCTATTTGTTGTTAATTAAATGTTGTGCTTTGTCTAAAAGAGCCTGTTTATAAATCTCGATCACAGAATTTAAAAATATATCTTAATAAGTAAGTCGGCACCCAGCAAATAATACAATGTGTGCAAAGCATGAAATTTTTTTTGTTAAAATGTTTTCGGCGTAAGTAGTACTACTAATATTTTTGTAAAAAAAACTTATAAAGGAGAACAATGATTTACAGCTGCGAAGATATATTACATCTTTCCCGGTTTTAATAGAAGTACGTACCCAAACGTACTTATGTTAAAATTATCCCCAGATTAAGAATTCCAGGATTAGAGTAATCCTGGAATTCTTAATCTACAATACAAATAAGATGTTTTATCATTAGTTTTCCGATTTCTTGGCAGAAATACTTTTAACTTATGTTTTAAGGTTTCGATTTTTGCTTTCCGTAAAAATTTGGTAAAATAAAACATCTGAAAATCTTGCACTGTAACATTCCATTTACATATCTGTGTAAGATAATGACAAACTTAAAAAAGGTATTGGTACTTTTACTCACTCAATCTTATTAAACTTGCACTTGGCAAGACCATGCACCACCACGTTTTTGAGGGATAGCTGTAATCCGTCAGTATTGCTTTCAATGTCTTTGGTAACCATTGGATCCATAGGTCGAACTCCAACCTCGTCAATACCCTTAACAAAATAGGGTAATGCGATCTCGGCTGACTTTACGATACATGCAGAGTCCGTTAGAGGACATGGTTTGATAAATGAAGCTGAAAAGGAATGTAAATTTATGAATTGTGATTTTTAGTTATTTTAATATATTATATTTTTATTGCTTCTGTGGCGTCCAATTGTTATGTTTCTTCAAATAAAACTTTTATTTTTGGGACCATAATAATAATCGAAAGGATTAAATATAGAAATTGTTTTAAAGCGCTTCTTCCTGCTTTGACAATCTATAATTAACCCGCAATAAATTATTCATCTTCCATAAAATTAATATCAATTATAGGATACATGTATGGATATAGTCAAATACACATTATAATTGTATAAGAATCAATATCATCATATAGGTTTTTGTTAATATAGTGTAAAAAATAAAATAAAACATCCAATTTTACTTACCAACATTGCCCAGTGATCCGGTCACAAAGAAGCCGATACACAAAATTATACACTTCATCATTTTACATACATTCATCAACTGGGTGACAGATACAGAACACTGATTGCGTTAATATTAAAACTTCCTTTTATATAGCATTAGATCTTAAGGACTTCATACAGTAAAAACAAAACTTGATTCTCACCAATCATGGGAGGTTATCTTTAGTGTCATTGATCAAAAATACATATAACTAGCTGTTAGACGCGACTTCATCTCCGTGGAAAATTACTTTAAATTTTTAAGCCAAGTACGGCCTGACCTGCCTATACACTATGTATGTCCGTCTCTAGATTACTCATAACTATTAGACGCCTAAACCGAAATTGAAGAATTAAAATTGAAGAGTTAAAGTTATTTGGTGTGTGATATCTTGTAATGTTTATTAGAATAACACTTTTTAGTTTATCATATCATCACACACGGAGTTTATCCCGGACAAACAGAAGGATTGACATAGAGACAGACAAAAATGTTCAAACGCGTATTTTAGCTTTGTTGCAGTGCGATCAACAATAGTACTTAGGATTAAGCTGAAGAAAAAACCAATATTTTAAAATCACAGAGAGACAGTTCAATTTTATGCATATATACCCATATGTATTTATAGTCAAGGTCATTGAATCTGGCTTGGGTCTTTAATCTAAATAAATAAAACCAAATCGGGTGAGTCACAACATTTATAACTCTACGGATAAAATTTTAATATTTATCTTTGGTTTTTTTGGTATCATCTAAGCCCCGAAGAACAAAATAAAGATGATAAATAAATAACTTAACTTTGGGGTCCGCAAAATTAACATGCAATAAATGCACACATAAAGAAAAAAAAATTGAAATTCATGTATTTTAATAACATGTCATCTGCAGTAATTGCTTCCAGAAAATCGTGCTTTAATGGTTATAACTTTAATATCAACATGATAAATCCATTGAATGGTGAGTTTCATTATCATAATTTTAATTTCAACATAATATTTTATTTAGCGTTTTGGTTTCTAAAAAAAGTAGAAGTGTCCAAAATTATTAGAAAATTTATAAGCAGAATTATAATACAGACTTGGACAAAGTCTGTCTTCTAATTCATTGCAAATCCCTAATGTTAGGGATATTAATATTTATCGTCAATACCGCTTTTTTGTTCTTATATATATTGTTCACACCACCAGAAATCATGTATTTAAAATTATTTATAAAATTACTTAGCTTACTTGTGCAAAAGTACCTTGTTATTTCAGGAATACTTCAATGATCCTACTTCAAGCAAACGAGAATTTTGTCTCGTTTATTTCGTTTTGCAGGCAAAATTGGGTAATATGATTATACCATTTCATGCAACAATGCACCTGAGGATAGAAATCGTTGGTTGGAAATGAGATGAGCTGCACCTCAAACCTCGGTAAGGTTTGTTAAGGATCTGAAGTTTATGGGCACTAGAGAACACTGACTAATCCATTTTGCAATTCGCATGGTCCGCTAAAAATTGAATTTTACTACTGAACATTCAAGCGATTTGAAAATGAAATTGCGTGTTTCATGTGACACCGAGATGCTTTGGGTAGGATATACTCGTATTTAGGAATTAATAAAGTATTATTAATAGAACATAATAATAATAGGCTAACGCTATAAGGTTTTTTATTATAGTGTCTCATAAAAGAGTTAACATAAATGATAATCAAACCCAGTAACCACAAACGCTACTGTACTGTACAACGTATAGAGAAGCCTGATTCACAGAGTGTTTGCAATACAATGTGGCAAGCCGGAATGTTCCGGCGACATTAACATGCAAACGGACCGGACAAGCCACGTGTGCCGCACGGTAATCATGTGACCTGGATGTCCTCCTTCAACTGACACAGATTACGTTAGTTACGTATTACCTACGAGGGAATAGTTTTTTGTGGAATTTAGTTGCAGCATTGGTTTCGTAATTTATAATCAGTTTTTTTTCTATATGCAAAGTAAGTAAAATAAGGAAATATTTAATATGATTTCCTTTTAAGTTATTTACATCGAGCTTAGATTTTCAATGCATATCTCGTAAAGTACTTCTAATAATATATAAATATAATATAATATAGTAGTACATTGCAATTGATTTCCATAGTCAATGAAAACATGTAAAACAGAAGAAGAACTAATTACAACTAAAGCCACTCACACTACCTATTTCTTAGTGTTCTATAGATTCACCGAGCGGGTGCCGGGTCTTTCACATTCAAAAATTAAATACCACATTCTATTTTTCGAAAATTTGATCAATAAATAGAATACACAAATATTGGTTTTGAAACCAAAATATTTAGTTTAAGTTTAGTTTATTTAGTTTTAGTGAAAGTTGAGCTTATGACAATTAAATATGGTCTCTATCATTATCGCCAACATTAAATAATTAGAAATGAGGATAAAGATTAAAAAATAATGAAATGTTGTGATAAATATTTCCCCACGGCTAATAGGAAAATCACAATGAACACAATCGATCATTAGTTATAATAGGCATCGCAACTAGTCGTTTTTACCTACACTAGAGATGGTAACAACCGTCACCAAAAAAAAAAAAGGTGTCCACCATCAATACCTGTCAGTTTATTACTACCTAAGCAATAACATCCGTTACGTATGTAAAACATAAAATTGTCGTAAACCAATTCTGTGATGTCTGAAGATTTTCAATATTGGAATACATGTATAACTATATAATACTGATTCAGATTCTGCATATCGGGGTCGGATTTCAAAGCTTACCGCTACTGTTTGTTTCCTATTTCCTTGTACTCCATTTGATTAAATTGTGATGGATTCGATAGTATTTGGTATTTCTCCAACTATATTGTTATGTTTAAGTTTCGAATTAACTTCAATAACTCTGGTTATCTTAACATTTTAATTTGTACTTTAATTTATAAGTACACAGTTAAATAATATACTTAGTAATTAAAATATTTTTTCATACTACATAAATGTACGAGTACATCATGTTAAAAGTTTACCGTGTTCACGACAGCAAAAACATGATAACGTTCTCTAGTAGAGTGCTATCGATTCATAGCGAGGGTTGGTTAATACAATGTGTCTTCTTTGCGCTTCCCTTAACTGTGGATTCCGGTCACGAACGTTGAATAAAATCTATATGCTGGACGTGTTGCGCTCGCATTAGATAAACGCGATAAACACAGATTAGTGTGGCCGCGAAATGGTTGCTGACACGTTCATATTTGTTTGTTTTTTCGACAAACAATTTCTACCACAAATACAGTAGATACTCTAAGATCAATGAGGAACTTAAAATTCAGTTGTACACATTTTCAGCTTCACCTTTGATGTTGTTGAAAGCTTTCATAATAATGAGTTTTTAACATATTACTTACTTCAATGAGCTTTGAGCATGATAAATGGGTAATGAGCTAAATTCCTCATTGTTTTATTCTCCACCCTTAGCGGTGGATATTTAGTTCAAAATTTTAACGTGACGATTCTTGTGAACATTTAATTACTTTATAGAAACAATTCTTTAAAATAGTTCACAAGTGGCAAAGATAACGCCTAATAGACACAAATTAAAATACTCAGTCGAATTGAAAATCTCCTTCTTGAAGTCAGACATTGTAACCTAGGTATAAAATTATATTAACTGGCCAAGGAGTTAATGTAAAAGAAAAACATTTTCCTTTAAATAATAGATGCAGTTTAGAAAGAAAGAAAGAAGTGATTTATTTTGGCAACAAACACTTAGATTTATAAGTTGACCTTAAAAAGGTTCCGTAGAAAATATATAGAACAATAAGTCTATTGAGTTGTAAGAACAGCTGGTCTTCAGTTGTCGGTAAAAAATAAAAACATACGGCCACTTGATGCTAAAAATCACCAAAAAACGAAATGCTCTATTAAACTTGACTTCTCCTGTTGAGAGAGCTCAATGGTGTACCGCGAAGGTATTCCACCTGCTTTTTTTTTACCTCACTAATACAATTAGGAAGTAGTTAGTGAGTAGTTGCAGTAATAATTGTACCAATTAAGAAGAAAAACATATATTCCACAGTCGTCTCCGGTATTTTCTGATAGCTCTTCCAGTAATATAAGTTTTAATAGCCTTGTCACAATGCTACGTCATTATTCTGAAGTACTCTTGTCGCACCGACCCCCCACTGCAACGCATTATAATTATTCGCAAAAGTTTTCACTAACGTTTAACTAGAAGGGAGACAGGGACACTGTCAAAGAGATCTTTTGTACCTATATAGTCTGGTCTGGTAAATATCGGAGTGTTTAAGAGGCCACTTACGAACATCGTTAAAATATTTCTAAAATCTTTTGAAGAGATTTTACAAAGTTAGTACGTTAACTGATAATTACTGTGTTTAAGCATCGATACGTCGTACGCGTACGTACATCGGACGCGCTACATGAATTAAAACAGATTTCAAAAGTTAGTACCTTGATCAGTTATCATGGTTTGGTTGCTTCAACCTGAGGTATGGTGTGGTTTTTTGACAGACAGACATTGACTTAAGCACAAAAACGGTGCATATGTTTGGGCTTCAAATAATCAAACCTGTAAACCATTCTTCAAGGAGTACAAGGATTATGTACTCTCCCAAGCCTGTTTATTTATGAGGTCTCAATATTTGTTAGTCCGTGTGGTGACGGATTAAGAATACAAATTGTCACCACCCCAATTCATCCCGGGGGTGTCGTAAGAGCCGACTAAGGGAGCAAACTAAGCAGGACAACAGCACTGCAAAGAGAAGGAAAACTTGAAACAAACCCTTTTTTTTTTTTTTTTTAACGTGTGGAAATCCCCTCGGACCGTCACCCCTCCGGGGTTTGCGGCGGGGTGGTGTGTCGGACTCGGACCGACTAAAACCACACGGTGTGCCACTCTGCGCCTGTAACAGGAAGGATCCGGGAACAGCTGTTGTTAAGACATCCGGACCCCTCCTAGCGCCAGCCCGCTCCTGGTGCGGGCTCCGTCTCATTGTAGATGTTCCTCTCTTTAGGCGACGTCCGGCACA